CCAGCAGTGCTCACATCCTGATGACCTCTTCTTCAAAACGGGTATAATAAATCCTGACCTCCCAGGGCATGGCACACAACAGCTCAGCATCGGTATCAGTTGCCTTCCTTGGATGACCTGCTCCCGTCACCCAGCGAGTGGGTCCGACAGGACTAGAACCCAGGCCTCCAGAACCCCATTCCCTGGCTGTCAGCAAGGAGAATCCCAAAAGCACAAACATTTTTTTCCCCTTGCTGACAGGGTCTCTGAGTTTCCAGGGGGAATTGTGGGCTCATCGGGGACATTATCATTAAACACCTGGGAAAGAAAAGGATACTTTGTGGGGGGGTGGCTTCATCCATCAGTGAGGTGTCCCTTTCCCTGGTTTGCAGGCCCCAACTCAGCCCCACCTTAAATATTGTACACATAAGCAAGCTCATATCAGAACTCTGACGCTGTTTGGTTTGGGTTTGCAAGCTCTGTTCCCTTGGTAGAGCAAGTGGCTTGTTGGGTACAAGGACACTGCAAGACAGTGGCTATCTTCCCATGGGACAGCTTGTTCTGGCCCCAAGGACACTCCTCCCATCCTCTGAGCCTTCCCTGAAAGCACCCCCACCCTGGGTCTCTGGTCCTTCCCCGAAGAGCTTTCTTATCATTTCTCCCTCCTGAGGAAGGGAAGAATGAGGAGGAAAGTGGGGTCCATATATATGACTCTCTGTAGTCCCCCATTTGGTGTCTGTCCCCAGCTAGATCTAAACTTACAAGAACAGAGATCTGTCTGTCTTGTTCCCCAGTGAACCCCCAGTGCTTACGACATAGTAAGTGCTCAGCCAGTGCTGACCCGGGTGGGAGCGCAGAGCCCAGGAAGGAAAGGGTGAGGCGGGCAGAGCCAGGCCACAGCAGAGGTGTGTGGGCCTTGAGGGCGGGCATTCAGGAGGAGGCAGAGGTCAGGGGAAGGCTGGCCAGTGAGCTGGTCCTAAAGATGGAGACAGACAGGCAAAGATGGGGAGAGTTCAGACTTCTGGGTGTGTCTGAGGAAGAGCTGGGTTATGGGGTGAGGCTAGTGTGGGCTGCAGGAGGTCACATCAGGGGTTTCGCACCCGTGAAAACCATCACTACAATCACCACCACTCCCAATAGATGGGTTTTTTTTTTCATCTAAAAACTAAAATGGAACAGGAAAGTGGGATTGTTGGTGATGTCCCCTCCTCAACTTCCTTCATTCTGAGATATGGTTTTGTGGCTCTATAATTCATTTCATAATCAACCTCTCTCTCTCTCTCTCTCTCTCTCTCTCTCGCCCCCCCCCCCCCCCCACCCCCCCACCTCAGCAGCAGCCCTAGTGGTCCTTGAACCCAGACCAATGTTCCGGCAACTCCTCCCCGAGGCCATCCGGTCCCTTTGCTGGAAGGAGAGGCTGGGACTCAACGGCCCCCTCTGCTGGACAGAACGCAGAACTTCCGATGCCTCAGAACCCTGGGGATGGAAACAACCCCAACGTCTGTCATAGGAATATCACAGTGGAATATTATATGACCATGAAAGAAAATGCAGTACCAATACATGCTAAACACTGATGAACCTTGAAAAAATTTATGCCAAGTGAAAGAAAACAGTCATAAAGGGCCACATATTGTATGACTCCATTTACATGAAATGTCCAGAATAGACAAATCTATAGAAACAGAGAGTAGGTTGGTGGTCACCTGGGGATCGGGGATGGGAGGAATGGGGAGTGACTGCTAATGGTCTCACACAACAATAAGTGGGGACCATATTTTGCTCCTTCCCTGCCTTGTCTGTACCCTCCTCCCCACCTGCTTTGTGGGCAGAGGCTAGAGGAGGGCTCCCTCCAAACGGGATGTGGCCACATGACCCCCATCTGTCATCTGCCATCCATCAGCCCCAGGGAGCTTCGGGCAAGATCAGAAAATGGGGGCGATCGATACAGCTGTTCTCTGGCCCTGCTTGTTGTTCTGTGCTGGATGGTGCCTGGTGGGGTACCTCTTCCAGGTTACCAGCCCCGGCCCAGAGTGGGTAGCCGGGGTCTCTGAGGGACTTCCCTGGCCAAGGGCTCTGAACAAGTGAGCTGTGGGCCTTTCCTCCCAGGCCCCCTTGTCTGTAACTCCACCACCTCTGCAGAATCAATTCTGGATGAAGCCCTGCAGCGGGGGGCATCCCGGCCGAGTGCCCAGGCTGCCATTTCCAGCTTCACAGAGAAGAAGGGGCTGGGACAAGATGAGCTGGTTCCTGAAGCCACGGCCAGTGACATGGTGCAGGCTGTGGCTTCCAGTGGCCAGAGGCCCAGAGCACCCTCAGGCCAGGGGTGCCATCCACCTGTTGGGGATCAGGGAGCAGAAGGAAGGGTCTGCAAACAGCAGCCTGGGGACAGGCCGCACTACCCTGCTCCCTCCTGGGGCACAGGCTCAGACAGGTGGCTGGTGGCCCTGAGTTCTGGGAGGCGTCTGGATGAGGGGGTGGAGCCTGGAAGGAGGCTGTGGGACAGCCATGCTCCCTGTCTGCCCGACATATGGGAGGTGACAGGGGAGGCCACAGCAGATGGCAGAGGAGCCCGGGGGCTGCTGGGAGGGTGTCTCATCTCAGGGCCTCCTTGGGTGACGTGCGCCCAGGGCCCCCTGCCCCTGTCTCCGGGAGCCCCGAGGGCTCAGAAGATGAGGGCCCTCTCTGAGCTGTTGCTGCTTCTGAAAGCTCCCCCACCCCACACCCCACCTCTCATCCCCACCCTGGGCCTCCTGGGTCCCCGAGTCCCCTCTATAGTCCCCAGGCCGGGAACGCCTGTCACCCTGGCCTCTCCCAGGTTCTTATCTGTGTGAGGGTGTGAGTGGAGCAGGTCCCCTGCCCATCACCATGCTCCATTACCTACATCTCAGGCGACCTCAGGTGTCCAGCTTAGGCTGCCCGGGTCCCTCAGGAGAGCGCAGTCCCTCTGGGAGTGGCTCCCATCCCATCATCAGGCCGAAGTGGGCATTGGGTGGATCAGAGGCCCCCCATTCCCTCCAGAGGCCACAGCAGGGTCGGGGAAGGGGGAGGCTCCTGCTTGCCAGGAGGCCGAGACCCCCACCATGCTCTGGGTCACTGCGGAGACTGGTCCCGTGGCTGTGGGGCTGGGGAAGGACCAACTAAAATCATGGGGCTCAGGAAGCAGGGTGTGATGGGGGTGCCTGATTAGCTCATTAGCTCTGCTGTGGACCCTGAGCAGGAGCAGGTGTGGGACCTGGAGCGGGATTCCCGCTGGGATCAGACTGCAAGCTGGCGTGGGAGGCGGAGAGAGAGGAGGGACAAGGAATGCGGAGGAGAAGTGCTCAGCTGCATCCTGTCACCTGGGCTCTGTGCTCAGGCTCCTCTTCAGTTAGGTGGGGACAGGAGGTCCTGATACCCAGCCCCCAGGGTCGCTGGGATGAAAGGGACTTCTTCCCCCTCCACTGAGTGCTCAGTAAATGGGGGTTCTGGTTACTCCCCCAAGAGGCTGGATGGCCCCATTCCTGGGTGGCTCCTGCTTTGGGCCAGAATTCCCACCTCCAATGGGCTGGAGGCAGTGGTGGTGCCTGCATGCGACTCCCTCCCCAGGCCTGCATGGCTTTCCCTGGAATCTTCTGTGTCTGCCTCTCACCAAGCTCCTCCCAGGAACAGACCTTACGCTTGAACCCCTACAGCCCTCAGTGGCTGCTGCCTGACTTCAGGAGCCTCTGAGTGAGCAGTGGGCACATCCGCCTCTGGCCACTGAGGAGGGCCAAGCACAGGACCGTCCCCAGGAGGTTCAAGAAGAGGCATCTTGGTGAGAGTGAATGTGTCTGCCGGAGACTCAGCGGGATTCCTGTCTCCCTGCTACATCTAGGTGAGCACCTGCCGGGAGCCTTTTGTCTAGGAGATGCTGGGGAGATGAGGTCACAGGGTCGCTGCCCTGGCTCTTAGGGTCCCACAAGGCGGTGGGGGGGGGGATGGGGGAGAAGCCCAAACATGGACACCACACCCAGAAGTAACAAGTGCTGTGGGAGCTGTGGGGGCTCCAGGAAGTCCTCCCAGAGAAGGAGCGCCCGAGCCACCAGGCACAGAAGAAGCCTGGCACCTGCAAAGACTAGTGACCACGGGTGAAGGCTGGAGCACAGGGGCCTGCAGGGTGGGCTGGGGCAGCCACTGAGGGGCCTCGAGTGCCAGGGTGAGAAAAGCGAAGGAGGGGAAGGGCCCCGGGATGGCTCTGAAGCTCTCGCATGCGGCCCTGGGTCTCCACCCCAGAAATTTAAGTGCTTGTAGAGGATGTCTTTGTGGACTCATGGTATCAGTGGAACCACAGCAAAGTGGTTCTGCCACTTCAGAAGAAACTTTGAACAGTTGGGCACACATGGGGCAACAGGAGGAGAGTTTCACAAAGGGCCATTTGGAGGGGTGGGCGCACATGAGACAGTGGTCCTGGCTCGGGGGCTAGTGACAGCAGGGTGCATTACCGCCCCCCAGTCCTGGGGCCTAGAGGGGTGGGGGACGGAGCCGGGAGGGTGCCAGCCCACCTGACCAGGGTCTGCCATCCTGACGCTGTCTGTGGTGTGCCCCAAACCCAGTCGTGGTGCACCCTGAGATAGCCTGCCCCTCAAAACTCGGTCTGGTGGGCCAGCCCACTGAAGGCCCAGCAAGGCCTCTGTGGGGAAACCTGAGTGTGCAAAGCTATAACTATGAGGATGGTCACTTCAGTTAAGAAAAAGCTAAAAGCTGGACACAAGCCAGCTGTCCCACGGCCGGGCAGGGTGGATGGACTCTGGCCCATCTGCATGAAGGGACACGCAGGCTCTCGCTCTGGCAGCTCCTCGGAATGTGGCCTGCCCTGTGGGCGTGGGGAGAAGTCACTCTGGTTTAACGGCAAACAAGGCGCCCAGGTCGTGGCCGCGCTGTGTAGGGACAGGAGTCCTACCCACTGCAGATAAGGCTTACATCCGGGACCGCAGGGACTGTCACTCTGCATGCAGAGCTCTGTGCTGTCTCGCTTCACAATAAGCACACATGCCATTCCTTTAGGAGTGATTTATATAAAGAAGTATCTCCTATCTATAAAAAAGGAGAGCTAAAAATGTGGTGAAGGGGGAATGAACAGAAGCTGCTGAGTCTCCCGGCGGCTAACCACCTGGCTGCCCAAGAAATGCTCACCATCTACGAGAAACAGGTGGGAGCCAGACGCGCCACCTGCCTATGGCCATGGAGGGCAGGATTGGGCGGCACACACCCAGGGCTGGGGAGAGTGGGGTGGGCGGGGGCTCAGTAGCCCCTGAGGAGGAGCAACATGAGGGCATGGAGAGGGTTGGGCGCTCTGGGCGGGAGCTGGGGAGGGGAGACCTGGGTGCTCTTGCCCGATCCGGGTTGCAGCAGACAGGGAGCCTTGACTTCAGCAAGTGCCGCTCGTCTGGACCACCGAGATGAGGATGATTCCGAGGCCGACCCAGGAAAGTGGGGAAGAGGCCCGAGGGGATGCTGACTGTGCCCAGGGCGAGCGCCGTGGGCCTGGGGGCACGTGTCCGTGCCTGTGGTCCTGAGCCTCCCGGGGCCGGGGGGCTGTCGAGTGACTCTGTAAGTACAACTGGCCTTCCAGATGACAGCCTCAGTGCCCCCACCAGCTGGGCAGCATGGGACCCTGGGCAGCCACTGGGGGCCTTCCCTGGCTTCCGACCCACTAAAGAGAAGAGGCGGAGCCCTGGGGCTCAGCACGGTGGGTGTTCCATGTCACCCTCCAGGTCACGGGAGGCACCGCCCACACGCATGCAGGCAGTGGAGGCCTCTGACGCAGGCTCAGCTAACAGCAACCTGGGCTGGAGGGCCTCTTGCTGTCCTGGGTCTCGGGTGGATGCCCCTCCATCCCTGTAATGAGGGGAGAAGTCACCTGGCATCAACCAGGCACCTGCAGCTGATGGGGGTGGGCGTCTGAGCTGGCAGGTGGGCAGGGAGGCTGCAGGCTGGAGGTCAGAGGCATGGGGGAAGGGGCAGCCAGAAGCCAAGAGCAGAGGGCGACGAGCCAGGGGAATGGCTGCGTCTTGGGCCGGAGGGTGGTGGACGCGGATTTCAGGCCGCAAGCCTCTCCCCAGCCCGGCCCATCACCTGCACGTACGGATGACGTCCCCGTTGCCGACCTGCGGCCGGGCACTGCTCCTCCGCTCCAGGTCCTGCAGCACCGAGCGCTCGAAGGCCAGGGCGGCCACACGGCTGAAAAACGCCTTCACGTTCTCCCCTGTGGGCACGTACAGCCATGACCCCGGCCACCTCTGCCCCTGCCCGTGGATGCACTGGGGGGGTGGGGGAGCCAGCGGTGCGAGAGCCAGGACAGCCCCCCACGCTGTGCAGGGGATGGGCTCCCCACCCTGGCCACCTGCCCTGGCCGCTCCTGAAAATCTCTGAGCCTTGGTTTCCCGGCATCTACTCTTCCAATCAATTGCTACTGAGCACCCGTGGGCCAGACACCGAGCAGTGTGGGCCTGCTTTCCTGTAACATTTGAGCACCTCTCCAGTGGGCAGCCATGAGGATTAGAGCCACTGGCCCCCATGTCCTCCGCCAGGAGGACAAGACCACCCATCTGGGCACAGGGCCCCCGACACACATGCTGCCTTGTGCAGTTAACAACCTATACCACCACACAGGGCAGTCCTTCTTGGCCCATAGGGAGCTCTCAGGAAACATGCTGTTACTCCAATAAGAGGGTGGGTTCTCACAGCCTCAGGGACACCGTCAGGAAGGAGAAGAGGGAACTGGACATGCGGGCTGCCACTTTTTGTGTTGGGCTGGAGGCGGTACTTCCACTCGCACTCCTGCTGCCTCACCCAACCCCCGGGCAGGTGTCCACGGTGGCCCCTCGCCCGGGGTAAGGGCTCCCAGGTGTCATTCCCGAGTCCCCACAGCCTCGGGGCCTCCTGTACCCCAGGGAGTTATTTCATTTCATCCCCCCAACAACCTGTTTTCAAAATCTGTTCCTTGCTTCTCTGCATTTTCTCATTTTTCCTCAGTGAATCATATGGCTTTTATCATTTAAAACACATTTTTCCATTAAAAATAAAACGAGATTGACAGCAACACCCCACTTCCCAGATGAGGATGGTGAGGCTCAGAGGCGTTGGGGGCCGGGGTAAGCAGTGCCCGTGGGCGAGGGCAGCTCAGGGGCCGAGGAACCCAGTTAGGCTGGGTGGGGTGTGGGGGAGGGCTGCAGGGCTGTGAGGGAGGTTTGAGTGCCTTCTATGATGACACCTGGGGAAGGGAGGGACAGCCGGTCACTGGCCCCTCCCACCTGTACCAGGTCAGGGGCAGGAGGATGGAGTGGTTACAGGTGAGGCTGCGTTCCAACCCCAGCCCCACCACTGTCTCCCTGAGACTCTGGTCGTGACCTCACAGGGACGGGATGGATGTGCCCCACAGCGGCCGCGGGGGTCTCACTAGAGAACACACGTGTGCCACTCCTCCCATCCAGGGCAGGGCCCCCACCCCCGATCACCACGGCGGCAGCCCTGCACCCACTCACCGGTCTTGGCCGACACGGACCAGTACTCGGCCTGCATCTCGTTGGCTAGGCGCACGGCCTCTGCCTCCGCCTGCTCGCACGCGGCCCCTGACTGGGAGAAGCGGCCCTGCTGACCCAGCTCCCCGGGCCTTGGCACCTGCCCACAGGTGAGCCCGGCGGTCCCAGGCGAGTCTGAGCGCCAGCGTCCCTCCATGATGGGACGAGCCCCGAGCACCGGGAACCGAGTGGCCCTGCTTTCAGACCCCCGCCTGCAAGTTCCCACGTAGGCACAAACGAGTCACCCTCTGCTCCGCAAACCCAGGCTGAAGGGGCCGTGTTTCCCGAGGCCGCCCCTGGCCCTGACCCACTCCGCTCACCAGAAGGTCCTTCTTGGTCCCCACAAGGAACAGGAAGCAGGCGCCTGGTTCATTCTCCCTCAGCGCGTCCTCCAGCCACTGCCTGGAACATGGGGGACAGGCAGAGACGGCACCCCCCCCAGGGGCTGAGGAAGCTGGGATGGGGTGCAGCCCGGGTCCTCCCAGGGCCAAAGGTTGCAGGGAGGGTAGCTTGACCCGAGCTGGCCTCGGGGGCCTCGGGTGGGCGGGGACGCAGGGGCGCTGTAGGGGGAGCTGAAGGCCCCATCCCGGCCACGGCTCTACCCTCGCCCTGGGTGAGACCTGCACTGTCACCAACTGGAGTGACCAGCCTGGCCTCCCTCACAGGGCTGGAGATGCGGCTGTGAACACCCCAAACAAAAGCAAGGTGAAGGGGCTCTGGTCTGTCAGCTGATGAACCCTGGCTCTTTTTTTTTTTAATTAAAAAAAGTTTTTGGTTTTTTTTTGGCCGTGCTGTGCGGCTTTTGGGATCTTAGTTCCCTGACCAGGGATCGAACCTGCACTATGGCAGTGAAAGCATGGAGTCCTAACCATTATGCTACCAGGGAATTCCCAACCCCCGGCTCTTGCCCAGATCTCTGCCTGAGACAGCAAGTGCCCAGTTGTGTCCCCAGAGACAGGGCCCAGGTGAGGTGAATATGCCAGGCCCCTCGCCACAAATTAGTCAGGCTTTCAAGATGACAACAGCAGAGCACTGAAGCCAGCGTGCGCCATTCTGCGCTGGCCACAGGCCCAGCTGGCCCTGCCTTCTGCTGTAGCTGCAGATCTTGAAGGATAAAAAGGTAGCCAACAGTCATCGGCCCGTGGGTGGCGGGTGCTGACCAGCAAGCTTGGTCACCTGTACCCACTGTCAGGGGCCCAGCTCATGGCCCAGGTTTAGGGAGCCCTCCAGGCAGCTTTCTGGGCCCAAGGGTCCCACGGGGGCTGCAGAGCCCCAGACTTGCCTGGTGTGCTCCAGGGTCTGCATGTCAGTGAGGTCAAAGGCCGTGATGATCACTGCATGGGGTGGAGGGGGGAGCCAGGAGCTGGTCAGTGACGGGGGAGGCAAACACGGCGTGACAAGGGGACTCCCGCGGAACTGATGGGGGCGACGGACGCTGGGAGGGAGACACCCATGGCTGCCCTGGAGACCCAGCCCCCCACTCTGATCCATACCCAGTGGCCCAGCCACAGGGGGCTCCAGGGAGGCAAGGTGAGCCCCTGCGTTCAAATCTCCCCTCTGTCTCTTACGGCTGAGGGAGTGCAGGTGAGGCCTTGATGCTGAGAGCCTCAGCCTTCATCTGTGACATGGTGAGGACCACAGCTACCTCTAGCTCTCAGGGTAGCTCTGAAGACTAAGTTGGAGCAGCTGTTTTAAAGCTCTTGGCCTAGGGCCTGACGTGGGGCAGACTTTCCCCCACTGGCAGCTATGGTCGTGCGGGCGATTAGCAACAACCAGCTTCAGAGGAACAATTTCTGAGGAGCAGCGTGGGCAGGAAATTGGGAGATGCAGCCCCCTCCCCCCCAGCTCCTCTCATCACTGCCCTGTCTGGTCCCCTGTGCCCTGGGTGGCCCCATGTGGAGAGCATTCCTGGCCTGCTCTCTTCTGGCCCCAGGGGTGTGATCAGGGCTGGACGTGGGCCTCCCTCTGCACCTCGGCTGAAGGCTGCAGGAGGCCCACCCATGTGCCCCGCCCTGGCAGAGGGGCTGAGAAGTGAAGGAGGAAGCTAATGGTGGTGGTGACCATGGCCGGGCTGCTGTCTGCAGGGCTGTGCCAGGCGCCTCACGCCTTATTCCCAGGGGGTGTCATCCCCCTGAGAAGAGAGGCCACAGCAGATGTGGCAGAGCTGTTATTCCAATCCACAGCCGAGGTGCTCGTGGTTTCCTGTTTTTGCTTTTTTCAAACCTTAGTGAAAGTGTGACTTTTAACACCAGTACTGAGTGGACCTAACCGTACCCCATCATCTGAGTCCGGTTTGGATGGCTCGGACCGCTTGCTCTTACCTCTCACCGAAACCCTTTCTCTCTTCTTCCTGGTCAGAGGAGGGGGCTTACGCTGCTACTGCCTGCTGACCGGGAGGCCTGCCCAGGGCTGGGGCGCCCTCAACAAGGATGTGGTGGGCGAGGAGCCCCGCTGGCCCCCACCTGGGGGCCCACCTCCACTCCTCCCCTCCAGCCAAGCCCCGCCCCCCTGCTCCTGAGTTGACTCTGCTCTTCTTTCTGGGGTCTCTGCACAAGTACTCCCCACTCTGAGCACCCTTCTGAGCTGAAACTGGGGCTGAGACTTTCAGGTAGCACCCACCACCATGGGTCCCTAAAGCGCGTGGCTGCCGAGGCTGGCCTGGGCCCCGCTGGAAGACGAGGACCGGCCCCGTGTTTCCTCAGTGGCTCTCAGAGGACAGATTTGGTGCCTGCACGGAATACCTGGGCATCTTGCTGTGCGCCCAGCAGGGAATTCACGGGGAGCCCCTGCTGCACATGGTTGAGGCCCCACTGTTGCCGTCACCCGGCTACTCACCCTGGGCACCCCGGTAGTAGGCAGACGCGATGCACTTGAACTTCTCCTGTCCTGCTGTGTCCCAGCTGCGCCGTGACCGAGAGGGAGGGGGAGAGAGAGGGAGAGAGAGAGAAAGGGGGAAACGGAGAGGTGGCAGGTTAAGCCATTGATCACAGTGTCCACAGCCAGCAGGCTTGTGGGGCCCTGGGCCGGAGACCCACGTGCCCGCACCAGCTGCATGGGTGCCACAAAGTGGCTGCTGCCAGCCAGCCAGCCCCACCCCCAGCTCCTTAAGATTCCTTCCTTGGGCGCCCATGGGGAACCCCCTCTCTGGATGCACTGTGCTCATCGGGGAGGGGCGCGGCCTTAGCATTTCCACTGCCCAGATGAATGGAGCTGTAGCTCAGTCCCTTCCAACTGCACCATAAAAAGCAGAATGTGCTCCCTGATGTGGCTGCTCTCAAGATGTGAAAGTCCACCTGTAGAGGCGACCCCGGGAATGGGACTGGGGCTCTGCCACTTGCTCATGTGTGACTGGGGTGTGGCTCCACCTTCCCCATGGCAGTGGAGGGGACGCTCAGCTCTCTGGGTGGGGTGCATTGTCTGATAAGGACATGGTTTGCTTCTCTGATCAGTTAGCTCTGGCTCTCTGGAGGAGCTGAGCCCTGGCTCCATAGGAAAAAAATGCAACAATTGATTAATGATGTCTGCCATGGGCACAGTAAAGATAGAGGAAGTTACCTGCTGAGATCTACTTGCCCTGGTTTAGAACAAGGCTGTAGGTCAAAATGCAGGGCTGAGTCTGAAAATCCACCCTTTTTAAAAATCAACACATCAAAATTTAAGTTTTCTCAGTAAACTAACGAGTAGACAAGCCATGAACAAGACACCAATAATCTGAAATTTTTCCAAGCGATCCAGCATGATGCAGAACTGTTTGGCTCTTTCATTAATTCATTCACATTTCCACTTCTGAAGAATACTCTGGGTGGGAGCTGGGAGGGTGGCCTGGCAGTGGGGCCAGTTGATTGGCTGGCAATGGCCTCCGTGTAGGACAAGGAGAGGCGGAGCCCGGAGAGCCCCCTGCTTCCTCCAGGGCCCTCTAATTAGACACAGCTGCCCTCCGCAGCTCCAGCTAGGCTGCCCCCAGCAGCTCGTGCTGCTTCACTCTCCTGCCTCCTCATCCCCTCGGTCCTGCAGGCCTGTGTCTTCACAGCCTCTTCTGCTCTGGTCTGACCATGTACACCCCCTTGGGCGAGGTTTGGTGGTACCATCTGCTCCAGGACTGCACTGGGACTGGTCTCAGAGGAGCGGGCACTGTCTCGACACATTAGGAGCTGAAGTCCACAAGGGGGTGAGCTCCACCGTGATCACCGCGATCCCAGGCCCAGCCCGGGGCATGGAGGCCCGAGGAGTGAATCCAGGGAGCAGGGGTGAGCACCAGGGAGAGCGCAGGAGGAGGGGACCAGACAGAGGCCCAGGGAATGCCAGCAGGGTCGACCACGCAGGAGAGGGCCAGGCTGGAGACCAGCAGGTGCCGGAGGAGAGGGGCTCTGGTGGGAAAGCATGAGGCTGGGGGGAGACCCTAGGCTATTCTGAGGGAAACTAGAGGAGAGGGGCCGAAGCCAGGGGTGTGTGTGTGTGTGTGTGTGTGTGTCCCTGAGAGGCCAAGGCGTGAGGTCTGGCAGGGAGGAGACAGACACACAGACAGAGGGAGAGAGACGGGGCAGCATCAGGCCCCAGTAAGGCCTGTGGACCGTGTGGCCTCTGCTAGAGCCCAGAACGCAGGGAACGGTTTTGGCCCCGTTTTCCAAGTGGGAACAGAGGCTGGAGGGCTGAAGTGACTTGCCGGAGGCCGCGCTGCTGGCCTGGCAAATGGGATCACAGAGGGCCCACAGGGAGCACCAGGGGAGGCTGGGGGCGGGGGCGGGCACATCAGGCTGCAGGGACTGGGGCAGCAGAGAGCCCAGCTTCACAAAACCGCCCGGGGCTTCCTGCCCGCCAGCCGAGGCCTTCCCCGGGGTCTCCCCCGGCGTCTCCGCGAAGCCCTCCACAACCATATGATGGGAAACAAGCGAGGCGCGGTGACTTACATCTGGAGGCTGAAGGGGATCCCGGCGACCTCAAAGCGCTCCATCTCAAAGTCCACCCCGATGGTGGCCTTGTAGTCGCGGTCGAAAACATTCCTGCAGAACCTGTGGGGGCCGAGGAAGCCATCAGAGCCCGCCCTCAGGGAAGACCAGGCGGTGACGGCCATGGAGACGGGCCGCAGAGACAGGCCACGGGCGATGGAGCTGCCAGCGGGAACTCCGTGTGGAGAGAGGCTGTGGCAGCAGACCAACAAGTGGGTCAAGGCAGTGAAAAGTACCGCATCTGCCGGCAGGGAGGGAAGGGAGGGGAGCCTGTGGCCCCGGGGATGGTGTGACCAACGCCAGGCTCCTAGGACGCCGCACTCCCCGCGGACCCACCATCTCCCAGATTTCTTGCACCCCCTCCCAGCAGCCACATGGTCTCCACTACGACATGTGATGGAGCCTCCCGGGCCGGTGGCGCACCTGTGGATGAGGCTGGTCTTGCCCACGTAGAGGTCGCCGACCACAACCACCTTGGAGAGTTTGAGCCTGTGAGGAGTACGGCGCGGTGCTCTCAGGCGCGATCACGGGAGCATCTTCGCACACACGGGCCCCTCCTTCCCTGCATTCCCCACTCGTGATGCGGACAGGTCACCTGTGACACACTCTGGGATGTCTGTCCCCCTCACTGGCCCTCAGAGGGGAGGGCAGGAGGACCTGCATTTGTTCTGGGGACTCTGTACCCCTGATCCCACTGGGTCCATGTCCCTCTGTGAGAATCACAAATGGGCACCATGGGAGGCTGAGTCTTGGGCTGAGGGAGCAGCGGGAAGAGCCCCAGGTGGGGCTGTGTCCAAGTTGGGTCACCTGCTCCAGAACTAGATGCTGCCTGGGAGCAGAGTAGACACGGCCCCTCCCACGAAGACGTGGCCAGGTGAGCTGCACCAAGTCACCAGGTGACACAGAGGTGCCCTGTTGCTGTCTGCAGGTGGAGGAGACTGGTGGTTTGGGCGTGACCCACAGTCCCAGGAATGCTGCTGTGCGAGTGCAGGACACACACAGAGGGAGGGGTAGCTGCTCTAGGTGAGCAGGGTCCCCCCTCCCCAGGGAGCCTGAGAACCTCAGAGCCATGGCCCAGGCGTGCAGACCTGAGTCCACGACACGCCCCCAGCCTGCCTGGCCCTGGAACGCCCTCCAGGGTGATGGTGGTGTCCTGGCAGGCACACAGCCCCAGGCCCTGCACCCCTGCCTGCGTCCCTTACCTCGGCGCTGCATCTGCGCTGCTAGTTCTATGTGTGTGTGTGTGTGTGTGTGTGTGTGTGTGTGTGTGTGTGTGTGTGTGTGTGTGTGTGTGCGTGCACGCGTCTGGTGTTTTGTTTTGTTTTTGGCTGCACCCATGAGGCTTGCGGGATCTTAGTTCCCTGACCAGGGATCGAACCCAGGCCCTGGCAGTGAAAGCACCGAGTCCTAACCACTGGACTGCCAGGGAATTCCCTGCGCTGCTAGTTCTGGAGCAGGTGGCCCTGACTCTGCTTCTCAGGAGGAGTAAAGGTGCTGCCGCAGGGCCACTGGGTGCCCCTGGGCCCCAGTTTCCTGGCCTTCCAGCACTGAGTGTGGGGAAGGGCTGGGAGCTCCTTGGTGGGAAGCCCCCGGTGTGGAACCAGCACTCCCCCAGCAGCCGCCGCCATGCTCAGCCCGTGACCATGGCCACCTCGGCCATCCTGGCCTCACTGTCCCCATGTGACTTGTGAGCTCAGCCTTCTCCCTGAACAGACCACGAGCCCCTCAGGATGCATGGCGGAAGCAGGACCCCGCACCTGTTTGTTAAGAAGATGTGACCATGGCAGGACACCTGTGCCGCAGTGCCAGGCGCCCTGAGGCAGTGACGGGGCGCACACGTGCCTCTCCTTCCTGCGTGTGGCCTGGCGAGGAACCCAGCATGGAGTCCAGGAGCATGGTGCAGGGGGCACCCGCTCCGTCTGGGCGAGGGGGCAGGTGTGGTGGGGACTCAGAGGAGACCCCAGGGACCCAACACTAAGTCTGAGGCCTGAAGGGCAGGAAATGCTTCTGGAGGGAACAGCCGTGCTCAGACCTCGCTGCTGGCCTCACCGAGGGGGGAGCTGTTCCTACAGCAGGTGCGGCAGGTAAAGCCAGATAAATGGCTGATGCTCCTCAGACCTGTACGGGGTGGCGGCGCCCGCATCCACGCACTCACACGTGCGCTCGACCCTCCCCACCCTCCCCTGGCCAAGCCAGCACTCACCCGACGGTCCCCGTATTCCTGTGTTGGCAGGCGGCGCTGACCTGCCCGTGAAAGTGCTCCCGGAGCTGCAGGCAGGCGGCGGGCGTGTACCACTGGAAACAAGACAGACAGACAGACAGACAGGTGGGCACATCACCCTGCAAAGCTCACCAAGCGGGCAGCAGGCTCCTTCCTGAGCCTCTGTCACATCCGTCCTCTACCTTGTCAGCGACTCCCAAGGCTCCAGGGTCTTGTGAGCCCCGAGGAGGAGCAGTGGGACCAGGACACACCAGGGAGCCCAGGCGGAGATCCAGAGAGCTGTGTCCCGCTGGGGGCAGCTGTGCCCTTGCTGCAGGCGTATCAACCCTCTGTCCCCTCTGGGCCTCTTCCAATGAGAGGAGGGCCCTTTTAGTGCCAAGATCCTCCTACACCTTCTATGGATCTCTGATGCCATTTTTATTTTAAAAATATGCATATCTGTGCATGGAAAATGTCCTGGAAGGCACTTTCATCTTCCATATTTTTCAGAAGGCAGAACTGGGTAGTGGTCTAAGAGCAGGGCCCCTGTGTCCACCCTCAGCTGCTGTGTGACCCTGGGTAGTTGCCTCATGTCTCCGAACTTCAATTTCTGCATCTGGAAAATCTCAGGGACTTGGGGGCATAAAACGAGGTTATATTTGTGAAGCCACCAGCGCAGAGCTGGTCTGGCACATACATACTAAGTGATCAGCAAAGACGCCATGACACATCGAATGCAGGTTTGTTCTATAATTAGAAAAAATGATATTAAACAAATGAAAGGTGACCATTACGTTTTGCAGTCAGATTGGCCAAGGCTGAGTGTGGGGCATGGCCAGGATGTGGGAGGAGACCGAGCTGGAGATGGCTGCTGTGCTCTGCTGTGGTCCCTGGGCCACCCCTCTGTCCTTCAGGGCCCCTGCGGCTCTACCCTGGTCCGCCTGCCCTCTCGGCTCTGTGTGACCAAGGCAGCAGGGACGGTGAAGGAGCTCGGCCAAGGGTGAGGGCGGGACCTCACAGAGCCCATGTCCTCATCTGTAAGGTGGGGACACCCCTCACGGCACCTCTTGGTCTGCTCACTGGAGTGGGCAGTGGGCAGTGCAGACGAGCACTCAGCCCAGGGCCCCCGGCCATGTGAAGGTGTGTGGCCACCTCTCGGGAAAGCTGGCTGCTTTTCCGTCCACTTCCGTGTCAGTGTCAAGCTGGGGGCTGGCCAAGACACGGCGGTCAGTAGAGGGGTCCCAGGACTTGGGACAGATTGGAGAAGTGTGCTAGGGAAGGCTGGCAGGAAGTGCACAGAGGAAAACCGAGGCACATGGGGTGAAGGAAGGACTGGCCCCATCTGACCACGAATTGCTTGGGTCTGAAGTGCTGTGGCCCTGGAGTGTGGGATGAACTTGGCCACAGGCAGTTGGGGGAGAATCTTACCTTCTGTGGAAGCAGGGATGCCCTAGCCTGCCTCCCAAGGTGGGGAAACGTCAGAGCTCTGGAGTCGGCCACGGTTAGGTCAAGTCTGGGCTCCCCCACGCCCAGCTGTGTGACCTCAGGCAGTCCTCCCTACCTCTCTGAGCCTCATCCCACTTTGTAATCTGGGTCCTTCATCCCATGAGACCTGGAGTGTTTTGTGCCGATCACGCTTCCCTTCCTTTGGCTTTTTAACCCCAGTCCCCGTCATCCCCAGTCACCACTGTCAAGTTCAGTAGAGAAGCAGCTGCCTGGGCCTCTGATGAGATGGAAAGTCCTGGGGGCACTGTCCACGGGTCTAAGGCACCGAGGCTTTATCTGTGCATGTTGGAGACAGAACTCGGGGTTGGGGGGAAGGCAGGAGAGGGGGAGGAGGAATGACTGCAGACCCCAAATACCCAGAGCCTACCCTCCTTCCCCCACCAGCCTGGGCACAGATTTCAAGACTCAAAAGAGAGGATTTCTCCCCACACACACAGCACCAGCCACTGATGGCAGGATCTTAAGCATCCTTCCAGATACCCTGCACGTAGAAGCAAACACGTGCATTTCTGCTCCTTTTGTCACACGTGGTGCTCAACAACTTACTCTGGCTCTCAGTGTGCATCAGCCCCTGAGAGGTGCTCATGCCTCCCCGAGTCTGTGTCAAGAAGCAGCATTTTGCTGTCTAAGTGGCCCCCTCTCGAGGACATTATGTTGTGTCTGACCTTCTACTTTACAAATTGCTGCAGTGCCTGGCCCTGAGCATCTACAGTGCTGGGAGACATTATCCCGCTGCTCCCTTGGGAGGCTGTGCAGATTTGCATCCCGTGCTGTGATTAATAATGGATTTTAATATAGATGGAAGAGAGCTGTGAGTTTCCAGCAAGGACAGAAGGCAGAAGGGTAAGGGGTGAGAACTTTGGATTTGGTGTCAGGAAACTGGAGTGCTGTTTGATAATGTCATAATTAAAATGAGAAAAACAGTGACCACACTTGGGCAAGGGAGCTCCCTTTTACCATGAGCCAGACACCCAATATGAGAGGAATTATCCTTCTGTACCAGTGGCTCTGAGAGGTTGAGTAACTTGCCCGCGGTCACACAGCTTAATGACATGCAGGACTCACACCCAGGACAGTCTGACTGCAAAGTCTGTGCCCTTAACATCCATGCCACACTGCCTCCTGGTGTCACCTTTCACTTGCTGGCCCACCTTGGGCAAGTCAACGCCAAGCTTCTCAAGAAGTCTGCTGAGTCCCTGGGGTCTGTCAGTGAGGCACTGACCTCCCCGATTCACCTGCTTTGTTTCCAGTGGTGAGTGAGGTGGGGAAAGCTGGATGAGGGCATGGTGTCCGGAGAGCAGTATACATATCAAAGGCTGGCCTAACGCCTCCCTACCTTAGGGAAGCTGGTGATGACGCGGTCCTGGCTCACCGTGGGCCCCAAAGGCATCACAGAGGACCTCATTCTTCCTGGGAGTCCTGTGGCCCCAAAAGGGGGAAGAGAGTTAGGGAACTGTGCAAATCCCTGGGGACTCCCCCAAAGTTGATACCTAACGTTGCAGTAGCTCTGAAAACAGGTCCAAGCCTCCTTCTCTGTCAGGAATGTCAGGATGCCAGGGGCCATCTCTCCAATCTGCAGGCAATGTGTGTTGGGGCACGGGGGCGGGTACCAGGCCTGCCACCAGGCCTGGGAGTCGAGGAGACCTGAGTCTCCTGACCGATGTCCACCAGGAGTGGCCCCTCCCTGAGCTCAGCTCTGGGCTGAGTGAAGGAGCACAGTCGTCAGGCTGTGCACACAGCTCGGGCAGAGGAAGTAGAGTGGTGAGGGCTCCCCCGCTCCTGCCCCTTAAGGGATGAAGGCTCTGGGTATGCAGGGCCCTCAGTGTTCAGCCCACAGGCCTTTCCCAGAACCACCACAGCCGGCACAGGGCCCCTCAGCCTATTCCACAGCCCCGGCTCCTTCTCCCTCCCGCCCCCTCCGCACTGGGTGGCCTTGACCGAGAGAGAGGCCTGTGGTCTTCCGCATCGGACCGTCTCTCCCCAGACCAGCACTGGGGGCCCGGGGTGTGCGGTCAGGAAAAGAGGAGGCCCGGGGCCCAGGCCGCTTTCAGGTTATGTAGTGGGAGGTGGGCGGGGGATCACGCGGGCGGGAGAGGGTGAGTCCGAAGGGGCGGCTGACTCACCTGCGGCGGCTGCAGAGGCTCCTGACGCTGCCTAGTCCGGAGGGGCCAGTGGCCGCGATCACCATGGCAACGAGCACCACACGGGACAGGCGGGCGTCTGACGAATCCGGGACGTCGGGGATGGGGCTCACAGCCAAAAGTGTTCCGCCAGCGTCTCGCGCCGCGATCACCATAGCAACCAGAGCCTCGCGGGAGACTCCGGGACGCGGCCCGAGCGCCGGTGATCACCACGGCAACAAGGGCGGGGCCTGGTGGGCGGGCCAGGTCGGCCATGGGTGGGGTCTGGGCTCCAGGGGCGGGCCTGGGCGGGGCTGACCGTGGAGAAACTTGCGCACCTGGCCTCCCTGATGTCACCATGGCTGGGGAGGGTTGGTGGTTCAAACGTGGAGGGAATTATGTGAAGTGTTTAAGTACTTATTTTCATAATATAGCAAATGTGATCTTTTTCTTGTTATGTAACCTGCTTCCACCCTTGCTTCTATCCTATTCCCAGTTCAGCAGCCCCCAGGGATGCCTTGTTAAAACACAGATCAGATCATGTCAGTCCTCAGCTCCAAACCCTCCAATGCCTCCTCATCGCTCTTAGATGAATAAAATCTTTACAATAGCCCAAGAGGCCCCATGTGATTTGCCCCATTTATTGTCTTAGCTCATCTCCTACTGCTTCCCCCCCCCCCCCCCCCATCCCACACATGCTCCACTGGCCTCCTTGCTGTTCCTCCACACGCCAGGCACCGGGGTGCTTGCATCAGCTGTCTCCTAGGCCTGGAAGGCTCTGTCCCCAGATAGCCACATTGCTCAGATGTCACCTCTAGATGAGGCATCCTATTTACAACTGCCGCATCCTTCCAACCCCTTATTCTGCTCTATTTCTCCCAGGCACTTAGCATTTTCTAACACATTATATAACTTGCTGTGTATGTTGATTGTCTGTCTCCCTCCACTGAGCGCAATGAGAGCAGGGGTTCTTGTGTATAGTCCACCCGACTTATTGCATCAGCCAAACAGTGCCTGCACATAAGCAGGCATGGAGTGAACGCTAAATGAGTGAACAAATATTGCATTTACAAAAACAAGGTGAACACTGAAGTATACTGCCATTACATTAAAAGGTAAATGAATTGTATTTACTCGTATAAATTTAGTTTATCAATGGAAAGATTCCAGTGGTTGCCATAGGTAAGGACGATCCGTTGGCTGGGGACCAAGGAGGGAGGGAGACATTATACTTTCATACTTCTTGGATTTTCTTCTATGTACATATATCACCTATTTGGTAAATAATTCAAATGAAAATAAACATTTTGGAACAGAGGGAATACAATAATATCCCCCGTCTCGGCCCTTCTGGGTTAGCCCTGATGCATTTCGGTGTGCTGCGTACCTTTCCCACAGACACCTCCTCCTCTCTGCGATCACGGCATAAGAAGAGGCTCTTGCTGTAGCACTGGCATTTGATCGCCCTGCAGTGACAAGGAATGGACACTCCTTCCATTTCCTGACCTTCATCTGCATAGTTCTGAACCTAATGATGCCTGAATATCATACACCTTGGCTTCTAGAGCTCACGCTGCAACATTAACGTCCATAATTAATGGCTGTTTAAAGGCTGACCTGAGTCACTGAGCTTCTGTGAGCTAGTTTCTGTTTGCAGAGAGAGGCACGTGGGGCTAGATGGCTTCCAGAGGCATTTGTGAGATGGGAACCACAGAAATGAGATGGTCGCTTTGGAGAGGAGGACCGTGTATGGGACAAGGGAAGGGGATGCAGACACTGATAATGTTCTAATGGTGAATTCACAGCTGCTTATTATATTTTTATGTCTCACAAATTAACATATATACTACATAGAATGTTATGTGTGTGTTTGCAAAAATAATAAAAAGGAGATTGAAAAACAGAAAATTGAAGGACGGTTTTACAAAAAGACTCTCTGTAACCAAATCCTGAGAGATCTGGAATTCCCAGCTTTGAGAATCTACTTGATTCAGCTCCCTGATTTCACAAGCAAGGAAATGAAGGCTCACACATTCCAAAGGATTTGCTTCATGAGTTAGAACTAGATTTGGAACCCAGATTTCCTAAATCCCAGCCCAATGCTCTCCACACCACCTTTGTAAAAAAGCTAGGATGCTCTAGGTTAGACAGACCCTTCACGACTTGGTCCTTTGAGGGACAGCAGTAGGGGCAGACATCCACATCACAAAGTGGGGTCCATGGCACACAGATCGAAGTCAGTTGCCTTCGTTTCAGAGTTAAATGTGCTGGAGGCCGATGCTTGGTGTCTTTGTTAGTGAGTTTCACTGCTAAGGGCTCAGGCCTCAGGGTGAGCTTCCCTGAGTGGCTCAACTTCCTCCTCAGTTTCCTCTGGTATAAAATGGACCTGACTATGTACTTCAAGGGTTTGTTGTGAGGATCACACAAGACGGTGAAAGTGCTTTGATTATGAAGCTTAACTCAAATCCACTAACCATTCACTTCTTCTACACTTACCGAAAGGCCTCCTGGTATATTCCTGGCACCGGGGAGGCAAGGAACCAGGACCGAAGTGGCCTCCACCCTCAGGGAAGTCTGTTGGGGGAAACAGACAAGCAAGTAGAGAATAAGAAGAGGGAAGTGTGCCAGTGGGGTAATTAAGCCATAGGATCACTCGCTAATTTGGAGTTGGGGAGAAGGTCGGCTTCAAGAGTACACCAAGTTGTGTCCTGAAGAACAAAGAAGTGGATAGTGTTACAAGCAGCCCAGCTGCAGGAAAGAGTTAGCCATTTGGGGGATTAAGAAAGAATCCAGCATGTGTGGAGGAGGCCATCACCCAGGGCCTCGAGCGGTAGGCTAGGAGTCTGGACTCTGTCCTGAGACCAGTGGGGAGCCCTGGGAGGGTTTGGTGTATGTGGTGGCTAGCTCTGGCTTGCTTCCAAGAACAACTGCTCTGGCCAGCAGTGCATTGAGTCCACTGCAGGGGCCGACCTGTGTTGTCACCAGCCAGTCAGCCTGCCGAGGAAGGAGCCTGGACCAGGGCTAAGCAGTCCTGGAATCAGGCCTCAGTGATTCAGCAGAAGCTACTGAACCTCTTTGAGGTTCCTGTCCGTAAAATGGAGAATGTTATCACCTCACAGGTTTACTCTGAGGATTAACAGTGTGCCAAGTGCCCAGTACAGAGAAAGGCGCACATAGACACTTCCCTCCTGCACTATGAACAAAGGTGAGCCGCCTTTGTTCCCCACAGTAACCCTGTAAAATATCACCACCCCCACTTTACTGCCGGCCCTGGCCTGGGATGTTCGCGCCTGCGCGGTGGGCGCCGAGTGTGCAAGAGCTGCGTGGCTGACGCTGCTCAGGGTCGCCTGGCAACCGGGTCGCCCGGCAACGGGCAAGCGCTACAGAACCTTGCGCGCTGAAGCAGGTGAGTCTGCGGCGGCCGACAGGGGCCAGGGGCCAGGGGCCAGGGGTCCCCAGACCCACCCGGTCCTGATCAACAGGCCCCGCGCCCTCCCACCCCAAGGCAGCCCATACCCCTTAGATGAGGGTAGGCCCCTGTCCCTGGCGCCCACCGTTTCCTGAGAGGGGAGCCCCGATCCCAAATGGCTGGGCCCCCTCTTCTCTCCCAGCCCGGCCCCTTCTCCTCCTTCCCTAGTCACCAGTTGCCCGGAATCAGAGTCCGGCTCACCTCTCTTAGTGGAGTCGGTTCCCACAGGCTGGGGTTTGTCACTGCCACTAAACGCGGTCACAACCACCATCAGCTTAATAATAACTCAGCCAAAGTATCTGGAGCCCTGGTGAGCCAGGCTCAAGAGTCTCAGCGAATATGGCACCTTGGCGGGGGTCGGGGGTTGGGGTGGGGGTGGGTGCTATTATCATCTCCCTTTTGAGCTGCAGAAAGACACAGAGGAAATAACTTGTTAAGGACCACCCACTGGCTTGGGTCTGGAGCCCATTCTTAACTACTAAGCCACACTGCCTACAGTTGCTCAAAGTGTGTGTGTAATAAAAATAAATCACACTTTAACCTTATTTCCTTCTCTATGGATGTGCTGGAAGCATCCGACTGTGGGTCCCTGATGGGTGAATGTGCTAGACCCAGATTTGAACATTGGTTCCTATCCTAGTTCGTGACCTCCACGGCTCGTTGTCCCTAAACCTCAGTTTCCTCCTGCATAAAATGTGGGTAATAGAAGTCCCCTCCTCCTGGGGTAGCTAAGTTGGATATTAGGTATTGCTGGCACAAGATAAGCACTGAATGGAGCTGATACAGCGTTTGCTCATTTGGCTTAGTTTGTGTTTTCAATGCCTTTGTCCCAAGGCCCAGCCTATAAAGTATCGGGAGAACTCTGAAGTTTGCAGTTCGGGCCGCCGCTTCACTGTGAAGTTTGGGCTTCACTGTGACCTTGAACAAATCCCTTTATTGCCCTCATTCTCAGTTTGCTCATCTGTAAAATGGAAGTAAAAATACCAAATCACAGTAGCAATGTTGACAACTTTTGGGTTCTTTTAATCAGTGGTTTCTGCAGAGCTTCACTTTGAAAGCTACAGAGCCGCCCTGTGCAGGAGCGGGAGGCGTGGGAAGATGGCCCACGCCCAGATCTCCAAGTACCTGCCCCCCGACATCAACCCCACCCAGGCTGCCATTGCCTACGGCTGCCGGGCGCTGCCCAAGCTGAACGAGGAGCTGCAGTCGGAGGACCTGTTGACAAGGCAGAAAGCCCTCATGGCTCTGTATGACCTCATGCACGACCCCGAGCACGTCTACACAGCCATCCGCATAGGTGAGCGTGGCACAGCCCAAGTGACCACGACTGTGGTCTGGATGGACAGACACAGAGAAGCTTGAGGTGGTCCCTTCACAGCATCCCTCCCAGCTGGTCAGCCCATCCTCAACTGGACACCACCAGTGGTCAGCCCCCTCTGCTATGACTCAACCCGGTGGCCACACATCCACCA